TATTATCTTTATAAATTTAATGCTTGTTGTTGAATACAACACAATTTCGAGGGAAAGTGTTTGGTGAAGTGATAGGAAGGTCGGATACACAAGTATACCACGGTGGTTTACTTACAACTTCATAGATAGATGTGGATAATCTGAAACAGATACGTTACGCTGTTTACATGGGAATTTGCTTGGATTCAGGTGAAAAAGTATATAAAATACGCTGACCGAATATTGGAACTCAAAAGAGCAAGGAAGCATTCATACAAATAACTTTGAGCTAATGAGCCCAGAAAACCTACCGACTAATCATTATCACTCATATTATAAGTGATTTATTCAACATATTTCTTTAAAGGTGATAAATGTCTTTTATATCTCATATATTTAAGAGTTGTATTTAGCATGAACAGATTTCAGTTCCCAAAACAATTTCTTATGAGCAGAAAAGCTATTTTCTAATTTCATGTTTATATTCCTTAGTTGTCTGTACTTTTTAATACTTCACTCCTCGATAATTTTCATTAATTTTCTTGCATAACTTAATGATATGCCAGCAATAAACTCAGTGCTTAGAAAGTCTTTAGGTTGACCAATTCTTCTTCTAATCTATTCGTCCAGGGCTTGTCATTATTGCATCACGGCAGCAGAGTTTAGCTAAACATATAAATCCTGGATATACTACAACTAGTTTGGGAAACAAGGTTAATTGCAGTAGCTAATCCCAACAATCTTGAAAATAATTAATTGTTTGTCAGGCCTAGTAATGTAACTCGAAACTCTACTTACATATGAAAAACAAGTCTATTAGTCACTGTGCGCTCGAATGTTCTAATAACAAATATAGATCAACTTTCATATATATATTTATGTTCATTAATGAGAAAAAAAGTTATGCAGATCTAGTTTTTACACATAATTATTTATTAATTTTTTTTTCAACGAACCAGGATAACATAAAGTACTCTTAATCTTTTCCGAGTATGCCAGGAATGTATCAATTAGCCTTATCATTTAAATGTCTAACAGATAATAATTAAAATATTGTTACAAGTTGTTTAACCTTGTTTCCGCAACTTGGTCATATTGGTAGGACGACTTAGAGGAACGCACCTAGTCCGGAGTTCATTATATGCATCATCATTTACAAAGACCGTTGACGTGGTACATTCCCAGACGTTCCGCCGGCATCATAGTCGGCATCGTCAGTGAGTATCGCCATTCTTAGTGCCACCCTACAACTCGTAAAAAGAGATAAGTGAAGCTGATCCTTTGACCAAACGTGTGCTAAACAGTTGAGGTATCTCTCCTTCTACCCTGGGCTATTCACATTTCCTATATCCTCCTATCACGCCTTCACTGTTATAATATTTTCCCTTGCTTATTTAAGTGCAGTGTGGTGTGCCCTTTTAAGCGGCTTTCATAAGAATCTTCCACACTGCACGCTGTAGTTCTCGCCCCCTTCACTCTTGTGCTAGGAATGTTGATCAGAGTATGCAGTCCTCCTTCCCTAAGTCTTATCACAGTCTCTCTCTTGCCCTGTAGGATCCGTCTTCTATCTCTGTAGTTCAAGTAGTTCACTCGACCCCTGCCACCCCAGCTGTGCTACTTGAGGCGTTATTATGCATCCCTTACGTGTAAGTGACTAATTCGAGGCTCAAGCCTCTGAGTAAGTCTTATGGTCAAGCCTTTGCTACATGTACCACGTCTCTGGTAAAACCTATTATCAGCTATTCTGTTTCTACCCTTAATGCGAAGTCTATGAATTGCTATGCCCTAGTCTCTGGTGTGCCAACCCACAAATGCTGTGATACTGCTTGCTTTCATTAGGTTCGATGTTGTTCTCTATAACGGAAGGAGACTGCGACCAAACAAAATGTTACACCATCTTGGTCTTCATATCTTTGATTAAAATATTATTAGTTTTGCAGGATAAAAATGAAATATTGACTGAGATTGTCTATATTATTATTCCGTATTATACCTTATCTTAAAGAAGTAAGCCTTCTAAATAATTATTAAATAAAGTTGTTTGTCTACATTTGGATTTTTCGGAACTAGACAATAAGTTTATTTGTCTATATTTCGGCATGTGGTTTACTAACTACACCAAAGCTTGATCTGAAGGATTGTTAATATTAAGCCAACATTCGAATGCTGTGAGTTCTATCTTATGTCCAATTATTGGTGAAGCACAGCCCTCTTTTTAATACTACATGTGGATGGTTTGAGAGGGTTACTGTCATTTGGTTTACTCTTTGTCTATCTTCGGATAATCAGATATAAAATATTTCTAGGGCGGTATTTCTTTATTTCAAAGGCGCATGTCTCCGGCTAACTAGTCAGATGTGACTAATTGATAGAGTCTGAAGGGCGCCATTATAATCAGGTGATAAATTCCTCTCAACCTCTGTCCTTGCATTCGGCTCTTTTTGCCATTTAAGCTATTGTAACCACGCCCTCGTGAGTTAAACTCATTGATAAACGGTATTCAATTCATGTTGAAGCTGTTCATAAAACAACAGCAGTAAATGCTCTAAAAGGGACTTTGTCGGATAATTCTTATCCATAAAGTGACCTTGCGATTACAATAAACTTTTAACCAAAATCATTTGTTAGAATAAATAGACTTTTTTAAGGAATAACTATCACGCAGAAAACGTGTGTTGCATAGGTGTCTTTAAGTTATTCCTAAAGCTCTCCATCGTGAATACTTATATATTTATATATATGCTATATATTTAGAATCATCCCGTATATATGATCTACTGTTAGTCTCGAATGCCTACTTATGAACGCTAGTGAGTAAGTATTCCAGGTGAATCCGAGGGCAGTCACTTTGGTAGATATGTTCATTTAGGCTGAATTATAGGGGGACATTCCAGAGCATCATATTGTCTTATATGGTCAAAGGACTTGTAAAAAAAGTTAAAGCCATCTTGTATCCATAAGTCGGATCCGATTATTTGGGCCCGGCAATCTGCAAAATTAAAAAAATATGGCAAATGATTGAAGTTAAAATAGCACGTTCTTTATCTGGATACTATTATTTATAACTCTTATGTTTTTGGTACATAAATAGCTTGTTAGCTCTCATTCTAAAATACGCGCCAAATTGCTCTGTTTTATACAAACGCATTTCTGTACTTGAGCAAAAGGGTAATGAGGGTATATGGTTATTAGCCCTGAATGTATTTATCCTATTCATCGAAATATTCGCGGATTACAGTTCTTTATGTAATCGATCGTGTAATCAAACCCGTTATGTGATATATTTTGGGGGTGTGAAATAGTAAAACCTTTTTTGAACAATTCGCAAAATTTAGAAGCCCTTTGAATGTATTTTCATACCAATTTATCGTATGCATATATGGTGAATTATTCTTAAGTCAATAGAGCAGGATGGTGTCAAGGCAGTTAAAGAGGCTTTTAACTTGTCACACAGAACGTAAAAGCGTTAAGCGTATAATAAACATGTGGGCAGAATATGCTTTTTTTCGTATACAAGTAGGCTTTCAAGACTACAAGGACTTTACAGCTCTTTTCTTCCTCTTTGGACTTAGTCATTCTTTCATACTTCGAAAATTAGAACGTTCATTTGAAGGCTTTTTCATCTGCTAATGCACATTCATATTCAAGACCTAAATCTCCAGGCGAGTCTCGAACCGTGCTCGCTTGGCATCAATGATAGAATATTAAATCAAATGAGAATATATATATATATATATATTTATTTATTTATTTATTTATTTATGCTATATTAAACGGCATCTCTTGATTAAAATCGACTATTAACAACTGATCGAATCCAAGATTATAAAATTTGAAGTAAAGTACCCGATGCACTTATGCGACTAACTACTAATTTTCCTACAATAACGGTAGTATTTGACAAGTTTTCAAAGCTAGTAAACCAAGCAAGAGCATTTCGGAAGCAATACTCCGCAAAAGATATTTTGCCCTAACTCTGGAAAGTTAAGTTCCCTGACGTCTTCTATGTAGCAATTTGTCTGTTGCAGATATTATAGAAGTTTAGCTACGCAAATTCTTGATTCGTTAGTTTAAATATGGTGGCAGAGATGATGCTCTTCTTTTGCGATGAGTAGCAGTCGACCAATGAAAGCTTAGCACGTTTTCATCGGAATCGAAGGAGATTGCCTTGGAAACAGCGACAAAAAGAATGTTCTGGCAAAGCCAATCGACGGCTGGACAAGAGAAATCTGCCGTGATCTTCTAGTGGGATCGACCTTTGAATCTATTCACCAAACACTTTAACTCAAAATAAAAGTGAGATAAACATTAAAAATCAAGATATTTATCGAAATCATACTGTCCTCCACACAAGAGATATTTTGCCCTAACGTTTCCTATGAAACAATTTGCTTGTTGCTTTGCGCATGAGCAGAGATTATAGAAGTTTAGCTAATCCGAATGACGCAAAAGTGCTTAATTTAATATGCCTTAGGACAGATCAAATCCCTTCCTCGCTGAACTGGCCGTAATAGTAGTGTCAAATATTGCGATGTAGGTCATATTACGGTAGCACAATGGACCGCATCGATTTTTTTCAACTCTTTTTGAGAGCGAGGCAAATTTGGTTTTGTGAAGCGTAAAGATATTTCTTTGTTCACAATGATAATCGGTTAATGTTGAGAAAAATTATGTCCAGTCGGCCATCGGTGGAGCTGGAAGACAGCTTTTTTCCTTTACTTTTACGCAGAACTCTTCTGCTTCTAGATGCAATTCAAGCGAAACCGCTTGTATACTAATTACCGGACAAAATACTGCAATATCCAGAAAAAAACTATTCACTCCGTGTCTTAGAAGATTTTCAAATGTGCATGACAAATTGGTAAATGGAGTCCTTATTTTCGATATATATAGCCACAGTTATCTGTGGTCTGCTCTTGCCTGGATTGGTGTTTTATGCAGCCCTACTGGTACTCCATCATGTGAGAAGATCCGACGAGAGCCCTAACCTAGCGGGCGCCTACACACTACCAAATATGATTATGAAAAACCCCATCATATTGGGCATAGCCATTTCGCGGCTTCTGAATCCGGGCCACATCGAGGAGCTGATGTATATGGAAGGAGGCCACTTTCTTGGCTTGGCGATAGCCCGTCTAGTTGTGCTGGTGCTGATCGCTATCTGTTGGAGCATCTTATATCAGCAGGGCTATGCTTCAGTCTACTCCTACTTGGAGAAACGATATGCTAGCCGATTGATCTGCCATCTTTATCTCATCAGCTCAGTGTTGGAGCAAATGAAGGCAATTCAAGTGTTCAAGATACGTCACCGACGCAGCCTCTTATCACATGTCATTCTCGAACCATGGCTACTAATTGCTTTGGGTGCAAGTTTTTCACTCGGCTGTTTAGCAGGCCTGCAGGCGCTTGTCTTCCATTTGGTCATATTCACACTTATTGGCTTTTCTATTAGAATTTGTCTGGCTGTCCATCTCAAGAGCAGTGGCTATGCTATAAACAATTTCTCGGCCACCTTTGCCTATTCCACAGGTCGTGAGTGTGCAGATTTTTCCCCTTTTCCAGGAATGCTGCATTATCTAACCGGCTTGATAACTGCGCAACCTTCATATAGTCTCTATCGCCAAGCGAATAGCCTTAGACAGGCCAATTTGGCTGTTAGTTTTGCTGTGGTAATAAATATAGCCGAAACTTTAATCAGCTGGTTATGCGCAAATGGAATCCATGACTATTCTATGCAAGCGGGGATAGCCCGCGAAAAGTGGCTACTTGCATACCCTGCAGAAAACACAAGCTTGCGACTGTATCAAATAAAAGAGACTGAACATTTTCATCAGATGCCGTTCGAATTAGAAAGCCAGATGAATGGTACTGGCGATATGAATTATTTCGAGACGACCTACTCCAACGAAAGCAGTTTGGTGGCATTGATTGCAGGTGTATTTTTGGGTCCAGGAACGTGGATTGTAATTATGGTAATTGTGTTGGTGACTTGGGGAAATTAGCGAAAACTTAAGTACAATATTAAGTCTTTTCATGTCAGTTCTAGACACTTAGAGCATTATGCAAAAATCGTATATGTTTACACTAACAATATTACAATACTATTGACTGATTTTCTATAATGTCTCAGCATCGTACTTCGTAACAAAATTACA